CGAGTTACTTGACCGCATGGCTGGGGGGAATTATTTGACCACTATTGATTTATGTAAGGGGTATTGGCAAATCCCCTTGGAGCCTGTGGCCATTCCAAAATCGGCATTTGTCACCCCATTTGGCCTATACCATTTCAAGGTTATGCCATTTGGGATGAAGAATGCCCCGGCTACTTTCCAAAGGATGGCTGACCGGCTCCTAGATGGATTTCAGGGCTTCGCTTGTACTTACCTGGATGATATCGTCCAGGTAAGTACAAACGAAGCCCTGAAATCCCTCTAGGAGCCGGTCAGCCATCCTTTGGAAAGTAGCCGGGGCATATCTTCAGTGGCACCTGGGAGGCCCACCTGGAACACATATCAGTAGTGCTCAACCAGATTCAAAATGCAGGGCTCACCTTAAAGCCCCAAAAATGCCACGTAGGCATGGCTGAAGTCCAGTATTTAGGACACAGAGTAGGGTCGGGGAAACAGAGGCCAGAACTGGCCAAGATTGAGGCCATTACACAGTGGCCCCAACCCCGGACTAAAACACAGGCTATGGTGTTCTTGGGTACCGCTGGTTATTATAGAAAATGTGTAGCTGAATATAGTGCCCTAGCCAAACCCCTGACGGACCTCACCAAAAAGTCACTACCTCAACAAGTAGCCTGGTCCCCTGAGTGCGAGGAGGCTTTCCAGAAACTCAACGCTGCGTTAAGTGCATCTCCTGTGTTGGCGGCACCTGATCATTCTAAAAGGTTTCTCGTTGCCTCAATGTTTTGACTGGGAGCAGTATTAAGCCAGGTTGGAGACGACGGCATGGACCACTCGGTGGCGTATCTGAGTAGGAAATTATTACCCCGCGAAGTCAGCTATGCCACCGTTGAAAAAGAGTGTCTGGCCTTAGTTTGGGCACTTAAAAAAATACAACTTTACCTTTATGGACGTTCCTTTACCGTGATGACAGACCACAACCCACTAATTTGGCTTAACAGAGTGGATGGTGATAACCCCAGATTACTCAGATGGAGCTTGGCCCTACAACCCTACAATTTCACGATGCAGTATCGCCCCGGGAAGCAGAATGCCAATGCGGATGGCCTATTCCAAGAGACGGAACTGGAAAAATAACTAGGTCATCCGGACATCCCTTAGCCGACCCGTTAGGATCTAAGCAGGTATGCCATTCCATGGGACTAAGGGGGAGCTGTGTAACGAAATCCCTGTTTGAACAGACTCAAAGAAACAGCCTTTCGGCTATTTATTCGTATGGATGGCTTTTTCGTGCTGTTGCAATAAACCGAACAAACTACCGAATCTCCCGACCTCCCACTGAGGTCGTGTGCAGCTCATTTACTGCCCAGACCTTGCGGTTAACCGCAGGGTAATTGAGGAAAGGCTTGGTGGTCCATGTTCATTTGCCGAACACATGGCGGTTGCCATTTTAAATCGTCGAACGCTCAGCGGGGCATGGCGACAATTCTCTGGAACTATTTTTGGACACTTATTCAGCCGAACGCCGCTGGCGTGTACCATGTTCCCCGTTCATACAGCTAAAAACTCACAAATACATTGAACACTTTACCGTTCTGGACTTTTCTATTATACGAAATAGATCGACCCCAGATAGCTACAGTTATGGAACTCTTTTTGGATTCAATCCCGCGAACAACTGGTGAATTAAAACTTCACTCGACGATATTGAGACCTGTGTTCGTGGGATCTGAGCGCTATTCGGCTAGAATGTGTGCTCAGATCCAAGCTATCTGGGGGTATGTGGAACTTAGAGTCTACGTTCGGTGAAATATAAGTTATAGATTTTAATACTGTTTTGTGAAAATATAAAAAGGACATGTTTTTCTCTACCTGGAGATAATTAGGTTCTCTTCCCCTGTTGCACTGTTACTGTGGGTGTGTTTAACTTTTGTGTTTTATACTGATTGGCTCTGTATATTTTGTCACAGTCTTCCACAAGGTCACATGTGGGAGTTCCCTTGCTGAGAGATCATCATAAAAGGGCTAAGTTTGGCCATCAATAAAGCAGATTGTTTTACCCCTTCATGAAGTCTCGACTCATGTTTGGGGGATTGGGAGCTATAATCACTACTTTACTTCAGCTTGGATTTCGGGAGAAGCTACAAGGATCAGCGCTGCACGAATAGCAGGATCCTTTACAGATAGAAAGAGATATATATAGAAATAATTAGATATAAATAGATAGAAAGAAAAAGATAGAAAGATAGAGATAAAACAAATAGATAGAAAGAGATAGAAATGGATAGATATAGATAGATATATATAGATAGATATAAAGAGACAGATATAGATGGGTAGCTAGAAATGGATAGATAGAAATAGAAAGAGTTAGATGGAAAGAAATAGATATAAATAAATAGAAAGAGATAAATAGAAAGAAATAGATATAAATAGATAGATAGATATAGAAAGATAGATAGATAAAAATTGATAGATAAATAGATATAAATAGATATAAATAGAAAGAAAGATAGTTAGAAATAGAAAGATAGAGAGATTGATAGATAGATATAAAAATATAGATAGATAGATAGATAAATAGAAATGGATAGAAAGAAAGAGATAGACAGATATAGATGGGTAGATAGAAATGGATATATAGAAATATATATAAATAGAAAGAAAGAGATAGAAATAGAAAGATAGATCGATAGATTGATAGATAGATAGATAGAAAAATATAGATAGATAGAGATAGATAGATAGATAAATAGAAATGGATAGAAAGAAAGAGATAGACAGATATAGATGGGTAGATAGAAATGGATATATAGAAATATATATAAATAGAAAGAAAGAGATAGAAATAGAAAGATAGATCGATAGATTGATAGATAGATAGATAGAAAAATATAGATAGATAGAGATAGATAGATAGATAAATAGAAATGGATAGAAAGAAAGAGATAGACAGATATAGATGGGTAGATAGAAATGGATATATAGAAATATATATAAATAGAAAGAAAGAGATAGAAATAGAAAGATAGATCGATAGATTGATAGATAGATAGATAGAAAAATATAGATAGATAGAGATAGATAGATAGATAAATAGAAATGGATAGAAAGAAAGAGATAGACAGATATAGATGGGTAGATAGAAATGGATATATAGAAATATATATAAATAGAAAGAAAGAGATAGAAATAGAAAGATAGATCGATAGATTGATAGATAGATAGATAGAAAAATATAGATAGATAGAGATAGATAGATAGATAAATAGAAATGCATAGAAAGAAAGAGATAGACAGATATAGATGGATAGATAGAAATGGATATATAGAAATAGATAGAAATAGATAGAAATAAATAGAAAGAGATAGATAGAAAGAAATAGATAGATAGATAGATATGAATAGAAAGATAGATATATAGATAGATAGAAATGGATAGATGGTGTAACGGCCATCCAGGTTGTTGGAGGGGTGTTTGCCGTTGGAGACTTCCTTTTCCTGGTGAGAGGCTGTGCTGCAGAGTATTCCAGATATCCCATCCACTGGTTCAGTGCAGAGAGGGTGAAGTAGAGCTCTTACAAGAGCTAGTGATTTAGCTGGAAGCAGGTACCCTTCAATAACGAGATGAGGCTACTTATTGAGGGTGAAGCAGAAATGTTTTAATGACCACACAAGTATTTTTTTTTTACACATTTTCCCACAAGGTTACCACCCATGTGGACCTTGTTGGGCACCGAAGACACAAACTTAATAGCCAATCATTTACAGTTGCACAGTTACTGTACATTCCTCCCCTCTGCTTGGGAGATAATTGAGTTAATTGCTGTATCAGCTCAATTATCTCCAAGTGAAAAATATACTTTTTACCCAATTTTTGTAACACATAAACTACACAGTCAATTTTAATAAAAGTTTAATTTTTGGAACAAGCATAATTGGGGGACACACATACTCAAAAATCCCACAAATCCATTTAGGGGTTCGGGAGATAGACGAACGTCCCTTCCCTGGTCTCCTTTCATACAATAAAAATACCGAACAGTCATGCTTTTTATGGTTCATGCCTTTGCTGGTCGTGTGCCGCCTTGTTCATGCAATACTTTTATCGAACGCTGCCTCGCTTGTATGAATCTGGGCGAAGCTAAGTGGTCCTAGAAGTCTCAGCGGTGTTCGGGAGTTTGAGTGTCTTTAAAAATAGTTCCAGACACTCGGCGACCAAACACCACTGGACACGTTCGACAAAACAAGATAGCCGCCACCACGTGTTCGTACATACGAATTGACGGCCACCCATTGTACAACTTAGAATGCTTGCGGTTTTGCGGTCTGGCACAGAGTCAAGGAGGTAAGTGGCAGCACATGCCTGGGCTGGGTGGTCTCTCAGTTTTGTTCATTCATACGAATGGGTTAGCAGTGTCATTCGTTTTCCCATTTGTATGTTTTCAAATATAAAACTGGTAGCAAATTCAAAGTAACAAATCCAGGGGGTTTACAATGTTTCAGTCTGTGGGCCAGGCAATAACAGGGGTTCTCTTACAAGATAGATAGAAATAGATAGAAAGAGATTGATAGATAAAAATAGATAGATAGAAATCGATAAAAAAAATAGATAGAAATTAATAAATAGAAAGAGATATATAGAAATAGATAGAAAAAAGATAGAAATAGATGGATAGAAATAGATAAAAATGGATAGATAGAAAGAGATAGATAGATAAACAGATAGATAGACAGACAGACAGATAGATAGATACATACATAGATAGAAAGAGATAGAAAGAGATAGATAGAAATAGATAGATAGAATGGATAGATTGAAATAGGTAGATAGAAATATATTGAAATATATAGATCGAAATAGAAATAGATAAAAATAGATAGCTAGAAATGGATAAATAGAAAGACATAGAAAGAAATAGATGTATGTTTGTATGTTTGCCTGCTAGCTAGCCTCCTGCCCAAGGACTATGGGCCACATACAAAGACCCTGTCCAGGAGTTAAATCTTCCCAGCCTCCATTACTAACTTTCCCTGGGACAACAGCTACCCGAGACCCAGGCAGAGCACATATTGCGGCCACAGGAGCTGACCTGCTAAAACACCAAACCCGTGGATCTGTTTTGGGCATAGGACCATGTGTGCGACCAAGTTCCGCTGCCTGCGTGCGACAAGATGGCCGCCATTTTCTTCACCACGTGGCGTTCGGCTATACGCATTCTTGTGGTTTGTTTCAACTTAACGAGCCAGGAGGGTCGTCAGTGTTCGTGATTAGTTCGGCAAACAAAATAAGAAGAGAAATAGTACCAAATGCACGAACGGAATATAAAAAGGGCATATTTGTCACATAGCTCCCCCCGAGTTCCACGGGATGGCACACCCACCTAGACCCCAATAGGTTGGTTTGGGGATGTCCGGGAAGTCCAGTTCAGTTTGGCGGGACAACCCATCTGCATTGGCATTCTGTTTTCCAGGTCTATAGACCTTGGTGAAGTTATAAGGTTACAGGGCCTTGCTCCATCGCAACAGCCTTGGGTTGTCTCCTGCCACTCGGTTGAGCCAGATCAGGGGGTTGTGATCAGTCATGACTGTGAAGCAGCACACGTATAAATAAGGTTGAAGTTTCTTGAGGGCCCAAACTAGGGCTAGGCACTCCTTTTCCACGGTGGCATAACTTGGGTAGCAATTTTCTGCTTAGGTACGCCACTGGGTGCTCCATGCCATCCTCCCCGACCTGGCTTAATATGGCTCCCAGTCCAAACATTGAGGCATCTGTATGGACGAGAAATATTTTAGTATGATCAGGTGCTGCTAATACAGGTGCCTCGCTTAGTGCCGTCTTCAACTTCTGGAAGGAGTCTGCACACTCTGGGCACCATACAACTTGTCTGGGTAGGGACTTTTCTGTGAGGTCAGTGAGAGGCTTCGCTATGGTACTATAATCCTGTACAAACTTCCGGTAATAACCGGCTGTCCCTAAAAACACGATTACTTAAGTTTTGGTGAGGGGTTGGGGCCAATGGGTTATGGCTTCAACTTTGGCTGGCTTGGGTCGCTGCTTGCCGGAGCCCACTCGGTGGCCCAAGTATTGCACCTCTACCATCCCTACATGGCATTTGTCAGGCTTTAACGTTAAGCCGGCGATTTGAATTCTTTTGAGCACTGCAGACATATGCTCCAAGTGAGCTTCCCATGTGCAACTGAATATACCTATATCATCCAGGTATGCACAGGCGAAGCTCTGAAATCCCTCTAAGAGGCAATCCGCCATCCTCTGAAAGGTAGCCAGGGCATTCTTCATCCCAAATGGCATGACTTTGAACTGATACAAGCCAAATGGGGTGATGAATGCCGACTTAGGCAAGGGATCTGCCAATATCCTTTGCACAGATCTACAGTGGTCAAATAATTCCCTCTTGCCATCAGGTCTAACAGTTCGTCCACCCTGGCCATGGGGTAGGCGTCCATAACTGATCGGTCGTTATATGCACATTAACACACAGATACATGTAAATACACTGACACATACGCACAAATTCATATAGACACATACACACACACACTGACACATACACACATCTTAACCAACATATACACACACACACACACACACACACACTCTGACATAAACATGCATAGACCCTGACACACACAAACACTGACACATGCACACACCATGACACAGATACACACACTAACCTAAAAACACACACGATGACACAGAGATGTACATACACAGATGTGTGCGCACACACAGAAACACACACTGACACAGATACACACAGAAGCACACTGATATATATACACACACACACACACATATGACCATCCTGACACACACACACACACTCTGACATACAAGGGATATTTTTTATATCTCCAGCCACCCTCCTGTTAGCTTACCTTGTGTGTCCAGGAGCGTGGCTTGATTGGAGTCCTGCTCCTGCTGCTGGCTGGTGGGAGTGAGAGGTCTGAGCAGCTCTTTGTGTTCCTTCTCCCCTCATGCTGTCTCTGCAGCTGCCTCCTCTCCCTCCCGTGCTGTCTCCCTACAAGACGCTGGAAGGAAGTGACAAGCTGTCACTTTCTCCCAGCCTGCCGATACTACAGGAGCCCGGTCGCGGTCCTAAAGGGCCACAGCACCTGACAGGCCATTGTTCAGCAGAACTGTTTCCCGGTGCTATAATCATAGCAATGGGGAAACATTTTGTGGCACTCCTGTGTGCCTGATGCGGCACCCCAGAGTGCCATGGCACACAGTTTGGAAAACCCTGTCATATTAAATCAATCTCCTGACATGTAGTCTCCACTATCTCCCTAGACAATGGACCCGACTCCAGAAATCTGAGGCCTTGATGGCCTCTTGCAAACACTCAAACTTGGAAATAGAGCAATAAGGCATGAAAATAAAGGGTACGGTTAATGAGAAAACTAATGGGAGTGTAAATCCTAAACCTAAGCTCAGATAAACAGCAGCAACTTGTTGACACCACATGTAAAATTTTCATGTTTGGAAGAATTTATTAACTAAAAATATTTTGTTGGTCAAAGTGTTCAAGCAAACTATTTTAACCCCTTAACCCCATTGTGACAAAACCCCTGCTTGTTAATACTAGGACCCTTTTATTTTGTCTGCTGTTCGTGTATTTAGCCCTATTTCATTTGTAACGGCACCCCCAGGCATAAAAGGGTTAAACTGGCATTTAGTAGATCTTCCCTTCCAGAGACACAGGCACAGCTACTGCAGAACACCAATCCGCCGAACAGGAAACCATAGAATGCCGTAAACAGCCAAATAGGATAAACCATACGAATAGGTTTACACTCCTAGCAGTCAAACTGGAACAGTTTACAATAAATCCCCCCAAGAACGAGACAAGGCTCTATTTTGAGGGTCAAGCAGTGAACTGTGGGTTTATTGTTCTTATATACAAATTAGTACCACCCACAGGGTTTTGGAAAACAACCAATAAACACATACAATACACTCAGACACTCCCACACAAAATCCTCCCCTCTGCCTATGATACAATTACCTTACACAATGGGTAATGTAATTATCACCGGCAGAGAAATACAGTTTTTCCACATTATTCATAACTTGAAAAGTATGCATCACATTCACATAACTTACATTTTCAGAAGCAGCATACTCCAAATACAAACATATGTCAAAATCATCCAAATTGGTCCAGTGGTTCAAAATATAGATCGTAGTCCTTTGTGACCAAATGAAGCCTGGCTTTTCTGCCCAAAACCAGTTCCACAGAGTCTTCTATCCTGGAGATAATTTGGAAGTAATCCAATTATCTCCAAAGACAGAGGCAAAACTCCATTGAACACATGGCAGCAAAAGACAATAAAATACATAAAATACACAAGGTTACATTTATTACATAAAATACAGACATGCAACATATCCCCAGATAGCTTAGGTCTGAGCACACATTATTACTGAATGGCGCTCAGACCACACACATACAGTTCAATCGCCATGGAGCTAAAGTCTTTTATTACACGAATAGGCTCCATGGCATAGCTATCTGGGTTAAATGAGTTCATTCAGTAAATCCGAGAATCTACCGAACGCCAGGGCAGAAATACAGGAATAAACCTTTCTGCATAGGAAAATAAAGTTTTTAAATGCCGGTCCATAGTCAAAAGGCAGCAGGCAGGCAACCAGGCTCCTCCAATGCACAGTGGCAAGATTGGTCTTGTCACATCATTCCTTTCTTAAAACCGAACAAACTACCGAACAGCCAGACCACACGCAATGGGAGTGTGCAGCTAATTAGTCATCCAGAAGCTTTGTTAACCACAACTATTTGACGAATGGCTGGGTGGTCGACGTTCGTTTGAACCAACACATGGCGGCGGCCATTTTAAACTGATGAACGCCCAGCGTTGTTTGGTCGTCGACCGCATGGAACTATATTTGGCCACAATTTCACACGAACACCGCTGGGACTATCCAACTTCCATCTCTTTCGTCTCCATTTACACCAACGCCGTGTCATTCGGTACATTCAGAACACACGGACTGAACCGACCCAGATAGCTAAATCCATGGAGCTAATTCTGGGTATATTTCTAACGAACAGTCGGTGAACAGACTCTTTAGATCCATGACAATTTGACTGTGTTTGTGGGATCTGAGCGCTGTTCGGCTATATTGAGCGTTCAAACCCAAGCTATCTGGGGATAGGCCAAATGTGGGGGTTCTGTTCGGTAAAAGAAAAGTAATGTATTTTCAGGTATTTTGTTACTTTTGTAAAATGGAAACATTTTCTCTACCTGGAGATAATTAGGTTTTCTCCGACCACTTAACCCAATTATCTCCAGGATAGAGAGGAGGGATTTCACTGCACTGTAAAATGATTGGTTACTGTAACTTGTGTTTCAGTCCTCCACAAGGTCCTTGCTGGAGTACCTGCATAAAAGGCCAAGCTGTGGCCATCATTAAACAGATCGTTTTACCCTTCATGAAGTCTCGACTCATGTTTTTGGGATTAAGAGCTGTAAACACTATTCTGCTCTACTTCAGCTGGGATTTTGGGAGAAGCTACAAGAATCTTTCCTACAGGGATAATAGGATCCGTTACACCCATAAACAGTAAAGCCTATCACAACGATGATATTGTCAGTGAAAGGGAATTTTTTTGCATTTTTCACACACAAACGACACTGATGATATAATTGTTGAGATACGTTTTACTGTTTTGAAATACTAGTATTTGTGTTCAACAAAGTCTCCTGAGTATAAGTACCCATGTACAGGTTTTATAGTGTTTTTGAAAGTTACATGGTCAAATATAAGGCTTGCATTTCTGTTTTTTTCACATTGAAATTGTCAGATTGGTTATGTTTCCTTTGACAGCGTATGGTAGCCTAGGGATTAGAATTACCCCCATGATGGCATACCATTTGCAAAAGAAGACAATCCAGGGTATTGCAAATGGGGTATGTCCAGTCTTTTTTAGTAGCCACCTAGTCACAAACACTGGCCAAATTTAGCTTTTATATTTGTGTTTTGCATTTTTAACACACAACCAAATATAAAGTTTAACGCTAACTTTGGCCAGCGTTTGTGACTAAGTGGCTACTAAAAAAGACTAGGCTTACCCCTGGGTTGTCTACTTTTGCAAATGATATGCCATTATGGGGGTAGATCTCATTCCGGGACTATGAGGCAAAAAGGCAAAGGCAAAAAGAGAACATTTTGTTTGGTTGAGAATAAATGCAAAGAAGATACACACTTTTTGGCTCCAAACCTGGACTATTACCTGCGTCCCACTGCTGCTACAATAATTTAAAACACTTCTGTGAGAAATATAATTATCCGGGAGGAGTCCCAAGATCAGAAGTCCCGGTTGAAGAGACAGAGAAGACATGTTATGAGTGTCTATATGTAAAGTGTTGCGTAAGAGTGTGGAAGTAATGTCGCACCTGGAAATATGCATAGCATAGCAGTGGAAGGCCAAGGAAACGCTCCCAAATTTTCTAGAGAGAGATTTTTGTCTGCAAAAATCTGTCAAATTGTGTGGATACCTCCAGTATCCTATTTCTTGAAGGGTTGGTGGTTAAGCCCCTTTTAAAATTAGGATTGTTAATCTGGGGTACATTTAAAGAGTACAAGGGGTTGGCACTCAATCTGGAATGCGATAGCTTCCAAGCCTTCCAGCCATGATAGATTAGAGAGCACCCCATTTGGCAAAGGTTTTTTAGTCTGTGGAGGAGGGTCAGCAATGAGTCAGGTTGCACCAAGGATGATTCCAAATGTGAGTCCAAAAACCGTTGTTGAGATTGGATCCAATCTAATGCAGCACACCATTGGGAACAGATTTTGCAGTCTGGATGAGGGCCAGCAAAAACCGTTGTTGAGATTGGATGCAATTTACAGCATGACGGGGCCACCAAATTGTACTTTATTGCATTGGGGAGGGTTCATTCCTCATTGGCTTTAACTTGATAAAGTTTGGCATAGCTGAGATGGGCCTTTGATCCTTGTCACAAGAATTGCCTCAGCTTATAGTTTCATCTTTTCTAGAGAGAAGAAAGGGAAGTACCTGCAAGGGGTATAAAAGTTTTGGGAAGCAAATTAATTTAACTAAAGGATAGAGGGAATTTTTACTTATGTATTAGTGAATAAATCTTTTTTGCACTTGTATTTGATACATATTTTTACACTTTATCTCTTTTCTACTATTCGTTGCATGGCACTGTGATCGAATATAAGGCTAAAAAGATTGGAAGATATCCATATGAACGTAGTATTCTGAAGGCTTAATTTTGGAACATAAAGTGTCAGTGGCCAAATGGAAATATATATTAACTGATATTTGTATACAGTTTTATGTTGTATCCTTCTGTATCCTTCAGCAGAATTATATTGTGCCCTTTCTGTATCTTTTAGCAGAATTATCCCTACATAATTCATGTTTATAGACTGTAAGTGAACTTGGAAGGATGGGTTGTCCTTTAGGTCCTTTAGGTAGGATAGGCAATGACAATGTCTTGTAATGGTGGAGAAGAGATACAGGTTAGTGTGACTGGGCTATTATCTGAAATTGTAAATTATTCTATAGATATTTAGCTAGGGTTGTACAGCCGAGCACACCAGAAACATGTCAATCCTGGAGAAAGAATCATAAACCAAAGAGTGAAACATGTATTCCCTCTCCCCATCATGCAGAATGCTCCAAGGATCTTCATTACAAGGGTTGGCAAGATGAGCGAGTCTGCGGTCACTGTCTGTGGGGAGCATGGAACCTGTCGAGGAACTACCTCTATGTGGGTCAAGAACAGCATTATAGCCCCCCCCACCACCAGATTGAATTTATCTATGACTACCTGTGATATTGGTGTCATGAGCTTTGTGAAAAAGTAGTTGTGGAATAATTTGAGCAAAAACATTAGCAATACAGAAACAAATATCATTAACTGTAAGACACAATATAACAGCTAAAGCCTTTAGCAGGATGGCAACGGAACATGGCCAATGAGTATCCTGAGTTAAGCTTTTCTTTCTTTTGATGGGCATGTTGGCCTCCTTTTCATTCCAATATGACAGCTTTAATGAAGGGTTAGTGTTTGTGATTTAGTTGACATTATAAATTCGGATGATACCTCAGTGTGGGAAGTTTTGTAGTGTAGAATGATAAGGAATGAAGGATCCATGTCCATCCCATACCCTGCAGTTAGAGTATGATATTGATATATGATATTGATAGTATGATAGATTGAAATTGATGAATATGAGATGTGGAAGAGGGGTTCTGTGTGTTTGACAACCATCTGACAACCATACAAAAAGTTAAACCAAGAGGATAGGGCTTTGTATAAATTATTGTTCCCCCAATCAGAAGGATAGGGAGGTGGAGGAATTGGCAGAGGCCACTCCTAGTCTAGGAGAGCATCATTTAAAAAAGCTGCTGCTTCTTTTACTGTTGTGGTAGAGAGAGTTTGGTATGCAATGGTTAGGTGGAGTGTGGCTGGATAGAGTAGTCTCTACGTTATGCCCTTCTTGTGTAGCGCTGAGCAAATTGGAGTGAAAGCTCTGCGTCGTTAAGTAACTTGCGCAAAGTAATCCATAAAAATTATGATTTTGTTGTCTTGGTAACTTGATTGGGTAGTTTGTAAGCTGTTGGGCACCAGATTTAAAGAAGAACTTTTAAAAGTGCACAGATGAGCTACAAAATTAATAAGGATGGTGGAAAAAACTACTAATAAAGAAAAGCTAAAAAAAACTGCATGTGTTTTCTTTAGAACAAATTGCTATACAAGTATACACAAGGTCAATACAAACCACTATGTTCTAACCTGTTAACCTGTTCATTAGCAATAATAAGTTTTATTGATATCGCATGTAAACTCACAAAAAATGGCATTAAAGTATGTTTTTAGCTTGGAGATAATTGAGTTGATACAGTAATTAACTCAATTATCTCCTATGCAGAGGGGAGGATTCTCATTGTAAAAAGTGGTTGCGCTTATCCATGTGCCTTTATTTTATTGGTTGTTAAATTTACAGTTCCTGTACCCCACAAGGTCCACGTAACCTTGCTGGGAAAGTTGTATATAAGCAGGAATAAACGCTCACTGGAGTCAGTTCTTCTTGACCCTCAACACGTAGTCTTGTCTCGTGATTGGAGGGGACAGCTATACTCACATTGGGGATTGCTATGCTCTACATATTCCTCTGAGCTTTAATCACTTAGCTCTTTTAAGAGCTTGTTCCGGATACGCTCTCCTGGAGGAGAGGACTTCCCCACATGGTCCCTGAGGACAGAAGCTGATCTAGGGTGGACAGAAGACGGCGAGACTCCAGTTAAGCTACAGCGGTTGTGGAGTCTGCGGTGGTTGTGGTGTCTTGTGCGGTGCTTGTGGTCCTCGACGCAAGCTAGGAAGCGTCCATCAGTGGAACAAACATCCAGGCCTTTTTTTAATATCTATACCATATCTATAACATCAGATAAGACAACTGTAACAGAACTCAGAGTAGGTAGGTAATCTGAGTTCTGTTACAGTTGTCTTATCTGATGTTATAGATATGGTATAGATATTTAAAAAAGGCCTGGATGTTTGTTTTTTTGCAAAAAAAAATTAATATTCAAAGATATAAATAATATGTATGTGTACCGGTTGTTGATCCAAGGGGAAATATGATTGCCATTTGCCATTATAGAGTGAAGAAAGATTTTTTGCCCCCTTTTTGTAACATAATTGGAAATGGTTGTAGTTGAAGATTTTGCTTTGGATCACTAGCATAAAAAAATTGGATTTCGAAAGTTGTTTTCAATGGATTTTAGTCTTTTTTCAACCTATCATATATCATAGAAAAGGCAGTGTTTACATTGCCCCTACAGACTCCTCAGATGGCCACTGAAGGTGCTTCCTGGGGCAGTGCTGCACAATAGGCAGCACTGTCGTTCAGCATCTCCACGCTCTGTATGGGGTAGCTGAATTTTCCTCATAGAGATGCATTCATTCAATGCATCTCTATAAGGAAATGCTGATTTTCCAAAACAGCGTTTGGCCCGCCCCTTGCCTATTTTAGCCAATCCAATGCTTTCCCAATGGGAAAGCATTGGAGTGGCTAGAAAGTGGCAATTTTGATGATGTCACCAAGAGGGGGGGGGGCCCGCACGGCGCTGAAAATAAGGTGAGTTTTAGTTACTTTTAAGGGATCTAAATGGGGCAAGCCACCTAAATGGTGGGTTTAGCACTATAGGGTCAGGAATACATGTTTGTGTTCCTGACCTTATAGTGTTCCTTTAATCTTTCAAAATATGTAAAGAAGGTAAGACGAGAAAGAGAAATCTTGGATATGAAACCTACAGATGAAAGAGAAATACAGAGCTGGTTCCAAATCCTATGATATTTTAATATTGCACTCCTCTTTCTCCCACTTCTTCTGTCTCTCTCTTCCCACTGCCTCTTTCTCCTCCCCTGTCTTTCTCTCTCTTCCTCCTCTGTTTCTTTCTCCCCCTCCTCCTGTATCTCGCTTTTCCCCCTCTTTCTCTCACTCCCCCTTTGTCTCTCTCGCCCCTCTGTCTCTCCCTCCCCTGTGTCTCCCTCTTGTCCCTCTTACTCCCCCACTCCCCCTCTGTCTCTCTCTTCCCCTCTTTCTTCCCCATTTCCCCTCTGTGTCTCTCCCCCTCCTCTCACTCTTCCCTCTGTGTCTCTTTCTTCTCCCTCTGTCTCTTTCTCCTCTTCACTACTCCATGAGGTTGACCAATAAGGTCTGGAGCTCTGCTAGAATGGCAAGGACAGCAATGTGCTGTGCCGGCATGGACACTTCATAGAGTAATCACTACTGGCTGTGCTGGGAATTGTGGGAACCGCAAGGGAGCATGACAGTCAGATCTGCCCCCTCCCTCAGTCCTCCTGTGTTATCTGACAGCTGCATGACTATCAGTATTAGTGAGTGTGCCTTTGGACCGGCTAGGCGGCCACCTGGCCTGGCGGCACCACCATGCATTACATGAATTCGGCTGGCCCCCTCAAAGTGTGTAACCGAACCGGCAGCACCTTCATGTGTTTCGCGGCCGTGATGTTACTAAAGCTGGCCACAGGGCGGGGGGGAAGAATCAGCACTGTGCAGCCCCCAGGTGCTGCGGCCCACTGGGAAATTTCCCAGTATTCCAGTGGGCCAGTCCAGCACTGCATAGGCCGGATGTTTGTACCTTCAGATCTAGGGATAAGGGTGTACCATGAGGCGGAATGTTGCACCTAATTAGCCACCACAGAACCCATCATTGTACTCTGGGACAGCCTGGTGTGCTGATCAGAGAGTGTAGCTTCTTGCAATGCTGGGTATATACGGATATGGGATAAATAAAAGAACAAGAAGATGGAACAGGAGAACAGAAATGGCAGAATGAAAGTGAGGAAAAGCCACATGGAGGTAGGAAGGAAATAAATTAGAAATGTAGGAAGGCAAATCAAGAAGTAAGATGGAAAGAAGACTAGAAGATGCAAATATTATTGAGGAGGTGAAAGAGAAAGCTAGAAAAGCAAAGAGAGAGGTAGCAACAGTGAACTCATGCCATTGTAACTGCTATCAATGCAACTCTTCAGGCATGACAGAGAGAATGGTAGACTTTCTGTGTGATCTTAAGGCATTGAGTAAGAGGCTGTGGAAATTGTGTGATCTGGAGCTGGTGAAAAAAAATCCAGTGCCTTCCAATTAGCAAGATATTGTCTAAGCCCATAGCCCTCATGAACTGAGAAATGTCTGATGGTGCCTTAATAGCTCAGGTCTGAGTACCTCTCCTTGACTGTTCTCAGGGCCTTCCTGATCGAGCGGGATAAATATTGGTAAAGATTCGTGAAAAAAGGAAGTGCAGTGCATTGCTGGTAAAAATGCAAAAGCCTCTCTTTGAGAATGCAACGACTCTGGAAAGGGAGCAGCCCATGAGCACAATGTAACCACATGCTGAACCAAGATGGGCCAAAATAATTTCTGCAGGAGATTGGAGACATTAACTCGGCCCTTTGGCTCTCCAAAGGTTAGAGCCTCAGTCCTAACTGTCCATATCATCTGGTACTATTCTTTTCAGGCCAGTTTAGTGAATGGGGTGTCATCGATTGGCTGAGTGCGTCCGAGGCTGAATGCCACCTGGAGAGGAGTGGACATCACCGCTGGAGGCAACTTAACCCCTTGAGGTAAGAGTGCCTCCATGCACCATAACAACTTAATTTAGATTAAGTTGTTTTGGTGCTTTTACATTTTTTTCACTTTTATGAATGATCAGAGTACTATGTATTTTATACATCTCATTAAAATGTTCTTTTTGATCAGCCTAACCTTTTGTATTAATAGTTTATTACCAAATAAAAAAAAAAAAAATGTATTTAAAAAAATACATATATTAAAAAAAATAATCCTTTCTGTGCTGATCACTTCTTTTTCTACTGCGATAAGTAGTTCATTATTTTTTATTTTTTTTGGGTGGTGTATAAGATTCACTGTGTTGGGTGGTGGAAGTGGGAAATGGTGTTCGGTAGACAGGTAGGAGAATTTTTTTTTGTTATTCAAGTTTTATTAGATGTAGCATGTAATGGATAACAGCAGTATACAGCAGGGTGATGTATAATGCAAATAGCAATTGACACAGGTTGCAACAATATGGTGTACTGTCTTTTAATGAAAAAGATAGTTTGGAAAAAATAAGATTAGTATGAGAAAGTATCTATTATCTCAATTACTAAGTTAACACTTCACTTGTAACGTGTCCTGGATCTAAAAAGATGGCTTGAGAATTGGGCACATAAACAAACTTCCAGTAGCAAGACCTCGGGCATTGCCATAGGAAAGAGACAACAAAATATCATGCTTTGTATATGAGTTACCAAGTAATATGTCATAAAGAAGGCCTGAGCAGCAAAATATGAAAACAGTGAAAAGAAGAGAGAAATGAAGCTGAAGACAGAAAACAAGAAAGAAAAGTGTCCTGACAGAATATGGGATATAAAAAGAAATAGCCTGTGTGACGATCTAATCGTATGCCTTTTGAGCAAAAACTTGCACAGGGCCTTAGACCTGGTCCTAGCACTGCCAGCTAGTGGATCCACACTTGTCAGTACAAAATAGGGAATCCAGCCTGGAAGCCACTTTTTTCCCCATGAGCCAAAGAAATGAAGTAAGGGTCGGGGCCTGACAGCCGACTGAGGCAGCTGCATGCAACTAGGGCTTCTCAATAGAATTTCAATACTAAGCAATTTTTGGTGTATTTGAACCGAATTAACGGCATCAAATCTTTTCTTTAAGCTTCCATAAGCTACTACTATGGACTGGCTACATCTGGGTGTCCTTGCTCATGGCAGCCGCTACTGTAAGCCTCGGCGGCCTAGTACAGCATCAGAGACGGAGGGAACGGCCGCTCTTTCAACTCAAATGGACCAGCTTGAACCATGGGGGTTGTCCTTGGCTCTGAGCCACTACGAATATCAGTGTCAGGCTGTAAACTCAGAGAGTCCACACACTTGAGGCCTGCACCACAAGATGACGGCCGTAGCAGCAGTCGCGGCCCTGGCCCACCATGAGTAGCGGATCGTGAGGGCCTTTGAGCAGCTCAAGGAGCAATTCTGGGCCAAAGTGCAGCAGAGAGAAGAGAGGTCGGCAGCAACGGAAAGTCCTCGGCATGAGCTTGCTGGCACAGCTCCTGAGCAGATGCCTGCCATGATCCATGTAGAGCTAATATTCCACAGGTTATCTCCACTCAAAATCCCAGGGAGGCTCAGGAACAAGTATTACAAATCCATAAAGCAATAATTACAGCAGTCAAGACAATCCACGAATATTCCAATATAAATCCCAATGACTGGATGACACACAGCATCAGGAGCAGAACTGAACTTTTAATCCACACAACCTTCTTTTAAAGCTTTCTCCCATGCAAGGGAGGGATTCACATTAATTAGTACAGTATCCAATAGTGTAACTGTTACCTCCCACACATCTCCTCCCCTCAGTGTGACACATAATACACATAATACACTTATACATACTGTAGTTTTACCCGATTTCTGGATGTACCCCAAAACAGTCAGGTAGAATTAGCCCTGATCTGTGTGACAAACATATTAAAAATTCACCCAGATCAGACCAGGGGTTCGGGAATTAGATGGAAGGTGAATTTTGACCAACCGCACATGAGGTAGTATCTGAAAAAGGCTCCATGTGTTTTGGCCTTGCAGTCGGTCTCCGTTCGGGAGTTAAAATACACAGAAATACTTGCCATCCACAGCTAATCTTACATTCGTATTAATTCCCTTGTTCGGGACATTTATTTTACTGAACGAGGGGCTGGTTGGCCCCTCCGTTCGTGAGTTACGGAGCTCTGGAGGTCTCAGCTGTGTTCAGGTGTTTAAGTGTCCGATTTGAGTTCCAGACACTCGACGACCAAACACTGCTGAGATTTTCTTGCGTAAGATGGCCGCCGCCACGCGGTTCGTATGCTGAACCACACAGATACATACAAAGTAACGATTTTACGGTCAATTAGTTTGTGGTTACAGAGTGTACAAAGCTTAATGAGGTGCACACTTCTCGCTGGGGTGGTCTGATGGTTCGATATTTTCATTCGTATGAAAAACGGAATGAAAACTACCGAACAATTAGACGAAAGCTACATTCAATACTGCTAAACATGGCCATAATTACACAAAATACATTTTTAACATGAATTCTTGAGGATAGCCCAATGCCATCCGCTACAATCCACACCGCTGCAGTGCCGGCAGCGAGGAGGAGAAAGAAGCGGAGAGGGCCTTGATTAAGGAGATGTGGCCCAAAGACAAGCCAACACTCATCTGGGCATCAGTCTAGGGAGGAATCCCTAGACCCCGCTCACAATTCCGGGAGATGACTGCTGAGCGTGCTGAACGTGGGAGTCGGCAACCCGTGGGCATATCTCATGACTCCGGTGAATATGGCCAGATCAGTAAGGAACAGGAACTGAACAGTGTTGGAGCCTGGGGCCAGTGTCGCAACGCTATGGGGGCCTGGTACACCAAAACCCCTCAGAATAGGCAATGCTGTTTGGTGGGAATAGGCTGAGCATTCTACCAACATTAAGGCCCTGGGCACCATGCTTTCTCTGGGCTCACTTGCTGACCGAACAAGCTATATCCATAACAGGGATACATGTCTGGAGGATCACACTATAGAATCTGATGGGCAAATCTGCAGAGACCTTTCTGAACTTCATCGCCGGAATGGACAACATGTTATCAGCAAAACTGTAAAAGCCATTTCAAACGGTAAAAGCCAGTTCAAACTCCAAGCGAGATCATCAGTTGCACAGCAGGCAAACAGAAACCCATCTAACCAGCCCCCCGCATCCCCCCCTCTTATAGGCCAGCAGCTTCCTTCTATCGCATGGAGAACAGGGAAGAGATCCATATCAAAATTAAATACATAACTGGAACTTGAACATGGATAACCCCCACTATCTGGAGGGGGGGTGGGGGGGAGCAGGGCAAACCTAGAAGCCTCTACCACTTTGTTTTTCTGCATGACTATAGATTAGTAGGAGAATAATCATGTTGGAAGACCATGGTCTCTCAGTGAGTAATAGGCTGAAGAAGTTATAAGCAGAGTAAATTTCCCCAACAGCTTATCAAAATGTCGCTGGAATATTATTTATTCAAAATAAATGTGGCAAGTGATGAAAGCAGATGTAAATAAGCAGGATGGCTGCAGATTATCAGGCGACCAGACCAGATCTCCAGAAAAATAATAATAAAAAATAACCAATAGCATTAGTCTTTTGTATAGCTAGTTCCTATACTGCAGTTCCTATACTACAGAAGAGACTTACAAAAATCCAAACATGAATCAGAGGGCAACAAATTTGAAACAAATGATAGTGATACTCTCACACCGTCTTAAAAGTGATGATTCAAGTGATGGTGCTCCCAGCGTACCACCATCTACAAGGAGGCACTCAGAATGCCCCACTGTGTCTAATGGAAATTGAGTACCGTGAAAAACCCCAATATATGGAAATTCCTGGAATCACAACCAAAACCGAAGTTTGTAAATCAATAACAATTCAAACTTTTCATGACAGACAACATCTATAAACATATGGCTAGGTCAGCCAATATCTGTTAGCAAATCTAGATTGACACTGCCACAAAAACATACACAAAAAAAACAAACACCTGGCACCCCACTGATGTGACAGAGATGAAAAACAATTTTGTGCACTGGCATTAGTAATGGGTATAGTAAAAAAAAAAAAAAAAGACAGCATACAGTTCTTTTGGCACAAGCACCCCATCCTACCCCTCCAAAAGTATGCAGATACTCTACAGATTATACCCTTCATGAAGGGGAAGCCAGCAATCTTGATTTACCAAGATGCACTGATTCTGTGGGCACAAATGGCAAGATTGTGTGGCATCTTCCCCTACCCTTGCTGAACAAAGGCTACTATGTGTAGACAATATTACATCAGCATTGATTTGTTATAAATTTTATTTTATTTTAAAACCTTTTTCTTTTGACACACAGTATGCAAAAAAACAGGTTTCTCCAAGAAGCTGACAAATGGCAAAACCCCTAGAGGCTCTAGATCAGCTTGCTGCCAGGATGAAGTGATGCACAAGTAAATAAAAAAAAAAGCAATGTACATTGTTGAGCACAGCAATATATATTTGACTGATCAGTACATACCACCATATCTTGTTCACCAAAGGGTCAAAACCTGGTTTAAAAGTTGAATTATACCTAACACATATTCAGTTTATAATATACCCAAAAACAATATGGAGGATACAGCTGAAGATCTACAAATGGAAAAACATATATTAGTGTAATACAGTTTAAATATAATCTGTGTGCTAGCAGAGTTGCATTTACTTCATAAAAATGCATTATTGCATACAGAAAAAAATAATAAAACAATAAAAAATAGATAGAGGTCCTACACTTTTTTCCTATATATAGGACTTCCTTAGGGATCAAATAATTAAAAACAGCATCAAAATAGTAAGCAGCAAAATCAAAAATCCGTAAGTCAAGGAAAAGCAACATAAAACCCTCCCCCTTCTATTTCTTCTATTTATATGTTCCTTTCTTTTTTCTAAATGGTCACTTAAGACTCCTTTGCAGCTGTAAGGCATCTTTCCTAATTGAAATTCCTTAGTCTTTAATGTTGTCATTTCCGGTGTGCCGTGAGCAATGGGCACTTGCCAATGATGCCTGCGTTTCAAATGGTGGCCATTTTGCGTTCCACCCATAGTTCGCTCACGACTGCTCTATTGCTTAGCCTTATTCTCCACTGAACATGGACACCAAAAACCTTTATAATGTCCTATAGGTCTCAAAATTCATAGAACATCAAAAGGCAAAAAACTTTACACATATATTCTTAAGTACATTGGTTTAGAGGATCATTTACAAGTACATATCTGTGTATCAGATAGCTATACTCATGTTTTTTAAATGGATTATTTTCAAACCTGTCTCTTTTTTTATGAATTAGATATTTTCTGTTGTAATAGATCTGTTATATGGGCAATTTAAACTATTAGATTCTTCACAGTTGATCTGACATGTGCTTGGAAACTTAATTGGAAGATGTGAAAACATATATAATCAAAGAAATATGTGAGATAGCCCTTGTAATGAACACCTTGCATTTAGTATGATACGTTTGTTCGCACACTCCTGAAATGCTAGAGGCTTGAGTGATTATAGCCCATTCGCATAGTACGCTAGTTTATACTCTCCCAAAATCCAAGCAGGTTGTGAGAAAAATCAAGCATTTCGCCGTTAGCATACCCAAACATCAGTCGAGACTTGATGAAGGGTACAGCAGGAATGTTTTATTATGGCCAGATGGACCACTTTTATACACAGACCCCCAGCATGGGTTCTCCAGCAAAAGTATGGTAAAACACGCCCAGGAGTCTCTGTGTCTGGGAGATAATTAAGTGTACTTTGCTTAAACTAATTATCTCCCAGGCACTAGAGGTACAAAATATAAAACATAAAACACCCCAAAATACACATAACATACATATGAACCCCAAAAAGTATTATATCCTTTGGATAGCCTGAATCTGAGTGCCCAACATATCCAAATAGCACTCAAATCCCACGAACAAAGCCAAATCGCCACCGGGGTAAAGTTTTGACTGACTGTACACGTGGCATCTCCCCAAATTAGTTCCAGAGAAACAGTGGTAGCGGTTGGTCAACTTCAGGAGTTTCAAAACGAACCAAAAGTTGAATGGTTCCCCTGGCTCATAGGTAGCGATTGTTCGCCTGGTTCGTGTGAACAATCCTACTGAACAGCGCTTGTCGTGAAATGAAACAGGAGTTCATACACAATTACCAGTGTTCACAGGGTCGAGTGTCCGACTTAGAGTTCCAGACACTCAGTCACCAAGTACTGCTGTCTGCTTTAGGAAGACAAGATTTCCAACGCTCGTGTTGTTCGGTTATACGAATAGCAGCCACACAGGAAGAGAACTTAAGTTTGTGGTTTTCTTGGAAGGTAAATGAGCTAGGAGGTTGTTGGTGTTCGGTCAATTAATCTACCGAATGCAGGGAAAATTACTGGGACGAGGAAATACAGGGTTTTGTCACAGTCCAAATGGCAGTATTGGCATCTGAATGGTTATGATAAAGAGATACTTTTCTTTGTACCTCTCCACTGTATTGTGAATAATATAAATAGATTAATAATAGTATTAAAATAAGTAAAAAAAACAAGGAAAAAAGGGGGGGAATTATAATATACAAAAATAAAATAAAAATGTGAAATAAATTGTGAAAAAAAAATATATATATAGTAAACGAAAAAGAAAAAGAAATGAAAAATAAATGGCAAATTTTAAAAAAACTAAAATTAAATGGAATAAAAACAGAGTATAAAAAATTATTAAATTAAAATAAATAAAAATAAACAAGTGAAAAAGTATCTGAAAAATATATGTGAACTTCTAAGAGGCTAAATCTACTTCGAAAAAAATTAGATAGATCTGCATTTTTGCCTTTGAGCTGTCCCACATTTACATTATAAAAAAAACATACAATATCAATATCAGCATTGAGACCAATTGATGGATCCAGAAGGTCTCACGCTGTGCTAGTTTTGCATCTCTAACCCCTCTATTTTTATTTTTTTATTTTATTTTAGGATTTTTTTGTTTTTTATAATTTTACATTTATTTTTTTTATTTATTTTTTCTTTTGCTATATATATTTTTTTCACCATTTATTTCACATTCTAATTTTATTTTTTATAATTTCCCTCCCCCCTTTTTTCACCCTTGTTTTTTTATTTATTTTACGGAAATCAAAACTTTATTGAGCAAGAAATTATGGTAGAAAACACGTCAAAGTACGTCAATGAGAGTGAGACTCGCAGGTCTCGGAGCCAAATATCAGTACTCTGGCCATGCAAGGCCCAACATTTATTGTACAAATGTATTGTACAGATGCATTAGTGTGATTAAGTATTCATAAATGGGTATGAGCAGTTTGGGTGGGGAGGGTGGAAGGAAGAGGTGTATCCATAACGACACAGGGAACATGGATACCCCCAGAGGTTCTAGCCGCTTTCAGAAAGCATGCCATGAGCTGTTATATATCCCTATATATCCCTATATTTAAAAATATGAAATCATATTCTCATCAATATGAAATCATATCTGCAAAAGAGGCTATGTCACATTAGGAGACAAAAAATTGATATAAGTATCATGTATAAAACAACATAATACAGATTAAATGGAAATAGCATGTTGATGAGTGAACTAAGAACTCAATTTGTTATTTAAACTAATATAAATGTGAATTGTCAATCACCATGTTTCTTCTTTAATGTCAAACTGGAGCCAATGATTAACTAAGCTGAAAACTATGGACGCTATTGTATTACCCCGGGTGATTACCAGAGGGCGATCAAATTAAATACCAAGTAGATCGCAATGGAACTCATGGCCATATTGGATGGTCTAAGTGGTGGAACGCGTGGAAGTGCCTCATCACGAGTAGGTGTCAGTTTTACTGCCAATTAAAGTCAAACAGCTGAGAAAAGGAGAACACACAGAAGGAGAGGTTTGCTAATCTGTCAAGTATCCAATCATAGGACAACATGGGAAGAACACCCACCACACTACCAATGGACTTCCAGGACTGACCATATTTAAAGGTACGCCGGGGAGGGAGGGATTAGGCTTGATTGTGTATATTTGATTTTACTGCATTTGTTACAATACTGGTCCCTGAGAAAGTTCGATATAGAGAACGAAATGCATAGGACCAATTTGTTAACTACTTTTTAAAATAATTTTACACCAATAAATATTTTATACTTCCATACCATTTGGAATTTGTGATCTTCCTGGTACCCAGATTTGACTTAACGCTGGCAGTGGGAGCATAACCATAGGGGAGGCACCCTGAGGGTTTGCTTAAATCAACAAATCTGTGAGTGAAACCAATAAGTGTCTTGTGATTGAGAGGCTATAACACTATGTTTTGTTTTATTTATTTGTTTCAGTGATACCGGCTTGATCCCCATTTGTTTGTATTTTTTACTATGTGGTATTAAGATCAGAGTTCTCAGTGTCTATGTGGGTTTCAGTCGGTCATACTCCATGTATGGTTAATAGTCTGCTGTGGAGTGTGAGTAGTGATTCATTCTTCTTGTCACTGCCTCATAGTGTTATCCTCCCCTGCTAAACGTATGAAGAATAGGAAGGAGGACAGAACATATGCTGGATAGATCAAGTAATAGAAGCATGGTTGGGTAGGTAAGAAGTGGACTGTGCGGCTCACCAGGCTACTCTCAAGAGTGGCTTTGATGTTTCGATAGCTGTTGAGATTTCCTCTTCTGTTATTGGTAGATCAGGTGCTTCTGCGTCTTTAAGTTGAAGAGTTGAAGTGATGTAGTCTGAAAGGAACCGTGTTGTCTGTTGCTCCCAATCACTCTCAGGACTGTTTCCTCTGGGTTGTGCGATATTATATAGAGAGGAGTAGTAGGTTTGAGAAGTACAAAGAAAAGTATCTCTTTATCATAACCATTTAAATGCCAATACTGCCATTTGGGCTATTTCACATATTTATTTGATTATATATGTTTTTCACGTATCCAATTAAGTTGTAAATTGAACCCTTTATCACACACAGGAGGCTCCTGCAGGGTCTAACAAGCTATTAATAGAGCAAGAGATAAGAAATTCTCAGTTATTCAGAATTTGCAATAAAGGAAGTGTCAACATTAGATGTCTCTTTATAGGAAGTGTTTAGGAAGGATGTGGGCCTAGGGCAGCATAAACAAAGTGATTTAACTTCTAAATGGCAAAGAATTAAGCAGTGAGATTATAGGGGCATGACCTATACACCAAAACTGCTTCCTTAAGATAAATTTCAACTGTGAAGAATCTAATAGCTTAAATATAACAGACCTATTACAATGGAAAATATCCAATTCACAAAAATGTTTGGATTTGAAGAGACAAGTATGAAAATAATCCCTTTAATGATTTTATGATACATTTAAAAACAGTATACCTATCTTATACACAGATATGTGCTTGTAAACAATCCTCTAAACTAGAGGTTCCTAATTAATTTTTTCTGTGGAGCCCTTCGACATCGTATCAAAGTATCAACATCGTGGAAACCTCGCCCTCCGGTAAAAAATAAAATGTACGCCGCTCTTTGTATGTGCCGGTGTATGTCTGTGTGTCAAGGTGTGTGTATATGTGTTTGCATTTTCCAGTGTGTGTGTGTGTATCTGTGACACACAGATACACACATAGTGGCACACAGATACACACACCTTGACACACACTCAACATATGAGGAAAGGGATTTAGGGGTGATTATTTCTGATGACTTAAAGGTAGGCAGACAATGTAATAGAGCAGCAGGAAATGCTAGCAGAATGCTTGGTTGTATAGGGAGAGGTATTAGCAGTAGAAAGAGGGAAGTGCTCATGCCATTGTACAGAACACTGGTGAGACCTCACTTGGAGTATTGTACACAGTACTGGAGACCGTATCTTCAGAAGGCTATTGATACCTTAGAGAGGGTTCAGAGAAGGGCTACTAAACTGGTTCATGGATTGTGGGATAAAACTTACCAGGAAAGGTTAAAGGATCTTGGAGGAAAGACGAGACAGGGGGGATATGATAGAAACATTTAAATATATAAAGGGAATCAACACAGTAAAGGAGGAGACTATATTTAAAAGAAGAAAAACTACCACAACAAGAGGAGTTTTTCTTCTTTTAAATATACTATGGTCTTACATTAGAGGGACAAAGGTTTAAAAATAATATCAGGAAGTATTACTTTACTGAGAGGCTAGTGGATGCATGGAATAGCCTTCCAGCTGAAGTGGTAGAGGTTAACACAGTAAAGGAGTTTAAGCATGCGTGGGATAGGCATAAGGCTATCCTAACTATAAGATAAGGCTAGGGACTAATGAAAGTATTTAGAAAATTGGGCAGTCTAGATGGGCCGAATGGTTCTTATCTGCTGTCACATTCTATGTTTCTATGTTTGACACACACTGTGTGTGTGTGTGTGTGTGTGTGTGTGTATGTATCTGACACACAGATACACAAACACACACTGGCGCATAGTGGCACACAGATACACACTGACACATACCTTGACACACAGATACACATACACACACTCAGATGCACACAGTGAAACATACACACATCTTGACTTACAAATACACACACTCAGATACACACAGTGACATATACACACACTTGCACCCACCGATACACACACTGGCACATACACACTCAGATACACACATTGACACATAAACACAGTGTCATATGCACACACACTGACACACACTCAGATACACACACTGACATACACACAGGCACCTAAAAAACACACTGATATACACTGGCACACACACACACACTCAGATACACACAGTGACACATACACAAACCTTGACACACGGATACACACACTGACACACATACACTCTCACTGACAAACACACATACTCTTTGACAGACACACATATAAACACACATACATTCTCACTGACAAGCACACATACATTCTCACTGACAAGCACACATACACTCTCTTTGACAGACACACAAACACATACAAACTCCCTAACAGACACACATACAATTTTTTTTTTTTTATTTTACTCCGCCCAGCCTCCATACCTTTGGGAGTGCTGGCACGGAGTCTCTATGTCCCTCTGGTCCAGTGGGGCTGCTGAGCGGCTGGCATGCGTGCGGTGAGGGAGCAGTGATCTTCCTGTTCAGTTCCCTCGCGCACCTCTTAGTGATGCCAGAGTGATGTCATATGCCGGCTCCGGCATCATTGCTGTGCGCGCAAGGGAGCTGAGAAGGGGAGAGTGCTTTCTCGCCACCCACGGCCATATTGTTTCCCAAAATTTTGGCGAAACCCCATTTGTGTTCTTGCGGTACCCCAGGGTTCCGCGGGAACACCAATTAGGAAACGATCTTCTAAACCAATGTACTTAAGAACATGTGTTTAAAGTTTTTTGCCTTTTGATTTTCTATGAATTTTGAGACCTATAGGACATTATAGTCCATTTTCAGTGGAGATCGGCACTTTGGGAATGAGCAATATGGCAGCCGAGAGCGAACTATGGGTGGAACGCAAAATGGCCATCATTTGAAGCTCATGCATCATCGGCAAGCGCCCATTGATCGTGGCTTGCCGAAAGTGATGACATGAAAGACCATAGACCGTGACTGGGAAATTTGTTTAAGAAAGATGCCTTACAGCTGCAAAGGAGACTTAACGATATTCCATCATAGGGAGGGATTTTCTTTCATAAGCTGCCGTGCTGCCACAAAGGTGACATATTTGGGCATGTTACTTCAAAAAACCCAAGCAATCCTGTACATGAAGTGCATTGTTGTTCTCGTGGGACACCGCAGGTTTTATTGCAGTAAAATATGTATTGTAATAATCACAATTAAAAATGCCAATAGTGAGCTTGTAGAAAATATAATTTCTTAATTTCTCACATATATTTAGATTTTATTCATATTAATTTATGGTTCATTTATAAATATTTTATGTCAAAAGAAAGCCGTATTTGCCCTTAACAAAATTTTACACAATATGTAAGGGTGTACTTTAGAAGATCCCTTAAAGGGACACTATAGCACCAAAGCAACTTTAGCTTAATGAAGCAGTTTTGCTGTATGGACAATGCCTCTGAAATTTCACTGCTCAATTCTATGCCATTTAGGAGATGTTCTGTTTATGCAGCCCTAGCCACACCTCCCCAGGCTGACACTGCCTGCATGAAAACAAAACTGTTTGATTTTCAATCAGATCGAGCAGGGCTCGAGTCCTGCAGGAACGCGTGGGAACAGCATTCCTGCACTTTTTTCACAGCAGGAACGCATTCCCGCTGCTCCTGCAAGCACTCATGGGCGGCAAAAAATACCGCCCCCAAATGCTCCCCATGTTATCCCTGTCATGGAGGGCCCAAGAGGTGGCTTTATGGCCACCTGATGAACTCCCGCCCCCCCGGGCTGGCACCTCTCCCCCTATCAGACCGGCCAGGGAGCTGTGTTCTCTCTTCTCTGCTCCCTCGCACGCCGCTTGCTGATGCCGGCCATCAGTAGACAGCCCATGTAGTGAAAGGGAGCAGAGCAGAGACAACACAGGTCCCTTGCTGCGTCTGACCAGGAGACAGGCGCTGGCCGCACTTAAGCCCCACTGGACCCCAGGGACAGGTCCACGCCAGCTCTCCAGGTAGAGAGGCTGGATGGACATTTTTAAATTTTAAAAAATAATAATAATTTGTGTTTCTGTGAGTGTGTGTGTCTGAGTGTGTGTGTGCACCTGTCAGTGTGTGTGTGCACGCGTTTATATATGCATACAAGTGTATATTTTTTGGGGGGGGTTGAGGGGGGTTGGGGGGGGAGTCTTGGGTGAGTTCCCACACTTTATTCCCCAGGACTTGACCCCTGATTAAGAGCTTTAAATATTTATATCTCCTGCTCTGTAAATGGAACCCTTTATCACACACAGGAGGCTCCTGCAGGGTCTAACAAGCTATTAATAGAGCAAGAGATAAAGGAAGTGTCAACATTAGATGTCTCTTTATAGGAAGTGTTTAGGAAGGATGTGTATGTCACACAGGAAGGTGGGCCTAGGGCAGCATAAACAAAGTGATTTAACTTCTAAATGGCAAAGAATTAAGCAGTGAGATTATAGAGGCATGACCTATGTGGCAAAACTAGCCACTGGAGACTATTAATGTATAAGTATGTTTGTATTCTTGCTAAAGCTGTAGAGACAAGTGTAGGATTACATTTCAGGCGAATGAGGGCATTTGTATGCTGGCGGTATGAAAACCCCAGAATTCATACTGTAGTTTCACGAAGAGTGAGTTTCAACACTGTTCGTGAAACAAATAACTTACCGAATGGACGACCACACACAGGACGTCGTGTGGCGCCCATTAACCGATTGCAACAAAGGTGGCCTAGGTGGCCGTCGTTCGACTACAGATCATGCAGCGGTCGGCCATCTTGGTTCCTTTGTTAGCCCAGCGGGGTTTGGTCGTCGAGCGCCTGGAACCAAAATCGGCTATTCGACGGCGCGAACACCGCTGGACTTCCAAGCCGTTCGGGAGCCCTGGCCATTCGGTAGGTTGTTTCCCTGATGTCAATCGGTACTTTGAGCAGAACTTGAATTTAATGTTTATTTTGTGCGGCATTCGGTTAGTTAGACTGGGATCTGAGCGGTATTCTCACGAACTGTGCGCTCGGACCCAAGCTATCTACCGAACGTCCATTCGTTTAAATGAAGGGAATATTATGGGAGATATGCATTTTAATGTAAAATGTAAATTCTGCTGCACGGAGGGATAATCCACTTAACGGTATATTCTCGTGGGAGTATCCCTCTCGTGCAGCAGTGCATGTTGGGAAAAATGTATGTATTGTTCAGTTCCCCATGTAGTCCCCTACTGTGCCACCCCTGGAAAGTCAGTAGGGAAACCCCTTGTATGGGGAATCCCATAAATACAGTGCCCTGTGAATAAAACCTCAGTTGACCTCCAAGCTATGTGTCGTCTAGTTCTTGGAAGGAAGGGATTGTAACTACGCTACCTGGATTTTACCTGCTTTGTGCCTGCTTGATTCAGTTTACCAGCGGAGATACCAGGGATAATACTACTACTCCGCTACAACCTATACACCAAAACTGCTTCCTTAAGATAAAGTTCTTCTCGTACTATAGTGTCCTTTTAAGTTATGATGGAGCATAGAGTTTAAATTCTAGGTTTTGTTTTTATTCAGAACTTGGACAACTGCCTCCATCTACAAGGGGAGAAATAAACAAAAGTTTAAACTAGAAACCTTTGTTTGTAATTTTCTTTCTAATCTGTCTATTTAAGCTAAAGTAAAAGCATGTTTTAATGGTTTCTACTACATTAGACGTGCAATTTGCATAATTGTTTAACAAAAGCATGAACAATGTCTAGAATATTAATATTTGAGGTGGCTGATATATTTTCCTGATTAAAGAAATGCAATATAATTTCAAAACGAGATTTCATTTAAAATGACATTTTAGCATCCTAAGTAAGGCTGTGACTCTCTTCATTATGAGATCCCAAACTTACCTGACATTAACTTCCATCAACTAATAAGACAAATAAATCCTGTAAGATAAACGGGCTATTGATGATGTATTCTAGTGCCTGTTTCAACAGAGGAGTCAGTGTATAGATGTACAATTTTATACAGTTCTCTGACAGAATCTGCACATATTTTGTACTATCCATATATATTAATATAGTTCTGTTATAAATATAGAGTACAAGAAAATAAACCCAACATAGAATAAGCAAGTACAAACCACACATTCCCATGTCAAAGATATCGATAATTAAATAATCTATCAAAATACTCAGCCTGGGGTATAATTAAGCAATATAAGTGAGAAAATGACCAAGAAACGAAGAAATAAATACTTGGTAGGGTGCAGTGGCATAACTACCATGGTCGCTGGGTGTCGCAGCGGTGACCAGGCCTGTCACGTCAGGGGGCCCTGACGCTGCTGCTAGTGTGGGCTGCCGGCATACCTTCAAGGTTGGTGCACAGCCATACCGGCTGGGGCCCACGGTCATAGGCTAACCAGCAGGAGGGGAGTGATGTGCTGTTCCCCTCCTGCTGCGTGTAGTGCGGCCGAGCGGTCTGATAGGAAGTGCTCACTGAGAGGTACTGTGACCACAGACAACAGACACGGGGAGGGGAAGGGAGAAATGGAGTAGCTGCAAGGGGGGGGAGGGGAGGAGGAAAGAGGAACAGAAAAGTTGAGGGGCTGCAAGGTAAGGAAGCGAAAAGGTGAGAGAAACAGAGGGGTGCAGGGGAAGGGAGGTGGAGAGAAATGGAGGGACTGCAAGGGAAGGGGCAGAGAGAAATGGAGGAAAGGGGAAGGGATAGAGAAAAATTGTGGGGCTGCAGGGGAAGACAGAGTAGGGGAGAGAAAAACGGAGGCTGCAGTGGAAGGAAGGGGGTAGAGAGACACATAGAGGGGCGAGAAGGACAGATGGAGGTGCCTGGGGGTAATTAGACAAATGGGGGGATGAGACACATGGAGAGGATAGGGGGAGTAAATGAGACACTTGGTGGGGAATGAGACTCATGGGGGGGGGGAAATGAGCCAAGAGCAGAGGGGGGAGAAATACACATGAAGGTGCCTGGGGGAAGTGAGACACATGGAGGGGCTTGGGGAAGGGAATGATACACATTCGAGGGCTGGGGGGTACTGAGACCCTTGGGGGGAGGAGACACATATAGGGCTGGGTGGGAGGAAATACGATACTTGGGGTGATGAGGCACATGGAGGGGCTGGGGGGAGGGAATTAGACACATGGAAAAATGAGACACATGGAGGGGCTGGATTTGAGACACATTGAGAGGCTGGGGCCACTCCAGGTTTCTAGTTACTCCTCTGGTAAGGAGTCTAATTAGACTGTATGTAATATAGCCAGTTTATATGAATAAAATACCTTTTAATCCACGCCTGAACTAATCAATTAATCCAGGATTTACCTGTGGGGTCTAACACAATAAATAAGACTCTACTGGGGGGGGGGGAGCAGCATTTTAATTGATTAATTCTGCTGTGGATGAAAAGGAATTGATTTAGCTGAACCTGACAAAAAAAACTAATTTTTGCAATTAAAGAAAAGGATTGAAAATTATGTATTATTTGTACAAACTGATCACTAGTGTTAAACTTCTCCATCTCACATTTTAGGTTGAAGATTTTATGATTTTGTTATTTTTCCAGATGTGAATCACAAAATAGTAATAATAATGCCTGCAAAATCAAAATCCTGGTTTAAATCCTCTTGACTCAATGAGGCATTCAATGTCATGTTTAGGTTGGCATAATTGAGGTCAAGATCCCTGAATGATCCAGAGTTTCAGACTTGCATGTTGCTTCCAGGCAACTGTTATAAAGCTGATGACATGTCTGGTATCAATGGCAAGGTGATGTCTCCTCCAGTCCTAGAAGTTCTCGTACAAGTCTGTCTCCAAACTGAGCACGACTATATCTCTGTACATGATATGCATCAGACATTTTGTAGAGGATGTAGGCATTGTTTATTGCAATGCTTATTGCAAACCAGAAAACTTGTTGCCATGTTTTGTTTGGTTTGTGAGAAATGAAGTACCTGCAATAAAAAAAAATAAAAAAAAAATAGTATAATGTGTTATCAGAACATGTCAAGTTTATTAATGCTATATTACAAACCCAATGAAGGGATCTGTAACTACAGCTTGAACACTAAACAATGACTTTCATGATCCTATCTCTAGCCATCTGTCTGTATGCCTCTGTCTTTCTAATTATCCATGTCTCCATTAATATGTACATATATAAAACATAATAGATTAAATCAATACCTTGTAATACATTTTTTGTTGGGACTTTTTATTTGACCAATGGAATTTTGGACCAACAAGCTTTCAGGATTTTCCCTTACTCTTGTCTAAAGCACTTCTGAGCAAACTTACACATAGAATTCATTAGAATAAGAATTAGAGTAAAACGTTGAGCTGAGACACAGGGAGTTAAAGCGACGGATAATACACTGGTTTGATAGAGTAACAACTCCATCAGACCAGTGTATTATCTGTCGCTTTATGTACCTACATATTAAGATGTATTCTAATGCCCATGCTTTTTATTTGTATCTGCATATTTGCTAAAGTGTATATTTATACTTGTCTATGCTTACATGCATGCAGGTGTTTATGTATACCTCTGACAGAACCAACTGCCTGTGAAATACTTTTATTGCTCCCTCATTCATCTGTTTGTTCTGCTATTTCCTTGTCCGTACGACCTCCACGCATGTTTCTGTTTTACCGAACAATTCACCGAACGGCCGGCCACCCAGCATGGAAGTGTGCTGCTGGTTAACCTCTTGGCCTCATTAGAACGTTGTGGTTAACCGCAGACACTTCCTAATTGTCGAATGTCGACTGGGTGGTCATCGTTTGTATGCCGACCACGAGGTGGCGGCCTTCTTTGACATACGAATGTTCAGCGGTGTTCGTCGATGATTTCATGGAACTAAAAACGGACACTGTTTCTCACGAACACTGCTGAAAGCTGCCGACCTCCCTTCGTCTATTTTTACAGCATACGAACGCCGGTCCGTTCGGTAGTTTATTTTCACGAACAGACTTATCCCAGATAGCTGTGTCATGGAGCCCATTCGTATAACGAAAGACTATGTGAAAGACTTTGGCTCCATGGCGATTGAACTGTATGTATAGAATCTGGTCATCATTTGGTAATAATATGCGCACAGATCCAAGCTATCTGGGGATGTGTGGAATGTATCTATTGTGTTCGGTAGTACTTGTATTGTGTATTTTTATGTGTTTTCACTATTCTGTATAAAATGGAGTTTGGCCTCTGTCCTCGGAGATAATTGAGTTACTTCCCAATTATCTCCAGGACAGAGAGGAGGGTCCTATACTATATAAGAGGAGTGTTTATGTCTTCCACCCTGTGATTTGCTAATCTACAATATGTGTCCTAGTTTTCCACCAGGTCCCCTAGGGGAGTGTCCACCTGGTGGAAAACCCGCATAAATACCGGGCAGGTAGCCCATAATAAACCGGATTCCTGCTGACCCTTAATACGGAGCTTTGTCTCGTACTTGGGGTGGTTTATTTGTATGGTTGATTCTCGTTCAGCTGTTTGGAGAGTGTATAATTCGCATGGTTCTTGTTTGGCTGATTGGAGTGATCGGTAGTTGCCTTCATATTCGGGAAAGGAGCAACTACCGATCACTCCAATCAGCCGAACAAGAACCATACGAATTATACACTCTCCAAACAGCCGAACGAGAATCAACCATACAAATAAGCCACCCCAAGTACGAGACAAAGCTCTGTATTGAGGGTCAGCAGGAATCTGGTTTATTATGCTTTAACCCCTTTTATCCCTGGGTTACCATAACAATACCTGGTATAAATACCAGGTATTTGTAAGGACAATGAAATAATTCGTAACATTTGATATTATTGAAAATGTCAACAGAAAGTTAAAAAAATGTATGCAAACAAGCATAATGCTCACGTAGAGTTAAATTGTATATTTCTGAAATAAAAGATTATAAAAATTGCTACTACAATCTTTATTAGTCTCTGGAATGTTAATGTCAAAGTTTATAGTTACTTTTTATAGTTAATTTTATACTTACTGTAGAATGATATAATTCTTTAAAACTTTCTTTACTGTTTGAAAGAAGGAGTGAGCTGCAGGCATTAAATTAGTGTCAAGTAGGATCTGGCAGAGAAACCCTTTTCCATACAGGCTGATTCATGAAGTATAAATAAGGGTGAAAAAGGCTTTATGGACTAAATTTAGCTTGAGCAATAATAATGTTACATAGTTACATAGCTGAAAAGAGACTTGCGTCCATCAAGTTCAGCCTTCCTCACAAATGTTGTTGCTGTTGATCCAAAAGAAGGCAAAAAAACCTGGTCTGAAGCGCTTCCAATTTTGCCACAAACTACGAAAAAATTCCTTCTTGACCCCAAAATAGCAGTCAGATGTCTCCTTGGATCAAGCAGCTATTACCCCACTAATTAGAAATTATATCCCTGTATGTTATGTTTTTGTAAGTATTTATCCAATTTCAGTTTAAACATCTGTATGGACTCTGACAAAACCTCCTCTTCAGGCAGAGAATTCCATATCCTTATTGTTCTTACTGTAAAAAAAACTTTTCTTTGCCTTAGATGAAATCTCATTTCTTCCAGCCTAAATGTGTGACCTCGCGTCCTATGTATAGCCCTGTTTATGAATAGATTTCCAGATAAAGGTTTGTACTGGCCCCGAATATATTTGAATAAAGTTATCATATCCCCTCTCAGGCGCCGTTTTTCCAAACTAAACAGATTTAATTTTTTTAACCTTTCTTCATAACTAAAATGCTCCATTCCTTTTATCAATTTTGTAGCTCGTCTCTGGACCCTCTCCAGTGCCATGATATCCTTCTTTAGAACAGGCGCCCAAAATTGCACAGCATATTCAAGGTGTGGTCTTACCAACGATTTATAAAGAGGCAAAATTATATTTTCATCCCGAGAATTTATGCCCCTATTTATACATGACAAAAGCTTACTGGCCTCAGCAACTGCAGATTGGCATTGCATATTGCTGCCTAATTTGTTGTCTATAACAATTCCCAAATCCTTCTCGTGTGTGGTTATCCCTAATTCACTACCATTGCATAACTTTGCATTTCTCTATGTTAAATTTCATCTGCCATTTTAGTGCCCAGTCCCCCAATCTATCCAAATCTCTCTGCAGCAAAGCAATATCCTGCTCACATTTTATTACTTTAAAAAGTTTTGTGTCATCTGCAACTTACACTTTCCTGAGCTAACAAATTTAGCTCAGATTCTTGCGCTTTAGGGTCCGTTAAGGTGACCCTTTCCCTTCTTTGTTATCCAGTGGTCCAATCCTAGATAGGCATAGAAGGGTGCATATAGTGTAATATAGTCTAAATTACAAGCAATAATTAAGTATAGTGAAATTTTACTCACGGGAATGACTAACTGGCTATTACCATGTTCTCCTATTCCATATAACGAAAAAAAAATATATATATACAAGAGAATTATATTACATACCAGCAAAGTACCCTCTATTTTTTTCAAATGCCATATATCCCAGGGCCATAGTCAGAATGTAGTAGGCGGGCAAGCAGCCCCCTCTAAGAACACATGGCGAGGTCTGTTCCGCCACATTTCTCCCCTTTACCCACCAGACTAACAGGGTATCTGACCTCCTGCCGTCAGTGCCCTGGTTAGTCCAGCAACCCACCCACAAAACAGAATACGCCGTATAACCCACCCACGAAAATTGGTTACTACACCTGGGGTAGTGGGATCTCTTGTCCATGTCCAGGAGCTACACCTCGACTCTGGTACTAGCAATCTGGATCGGTGCGTTGCTGAGTGGGCAGAGACCAGCAGTACTCTGCCCTGTTGTCAGCGCTACCACAGGAGTAGCCTGGTTGGAGCCCAGGTGAAGGAACGGCGTAGTATGCTCCTCACTCCGGACCTGGGGCTGCTGCTGGAGGGGAAGCCAGGCTGTCTCCCCTTTGGATGAACAACCCTGCTGCTGGGGGACTGGACCAACCATCCCTACCCCCTTGTGATGCATGTGCAGAGACCACGATCCCATCTGCATTGGTGTGGGGCTTAGCATCTCCCCTTTGTGGGCTAGGCTGCCACTGGGGAGGTGAACCAATGGTCTCCACTCCCAATATAATACTCTGCCGATGGGGAGTAGGACCGACTGTCCGTACTCCCTGTAGCTTGGGAGCAGAGACCACGGTCCCATTTGTGCCAGTGTGGGGCTTATCATCTCCCCTTGGTGGGCTAGGCTGCCGCTGGGGAGAGGGGGGTAACAAGCTCCTCTCCCATACATACTTCCAGCCGCTGGGGAGGGAGACTGACTGTCTCCGCTCCCAACACAGTGTCCTGCTGCTGGGGAAAAGAGACTGGGCTCTCTATTCCCTGCTGGGGAGGGAGGACAAGGCTCTCCTCTCCCAGTAAGTCACTCTGCTGCTGGGGTGGGGGACCAGTTGTCTCCTCTTCCTGAAACTCACTCTGCCGCTGGGGATATGGGCCGACCACCCAGCATCCCTGTAGGGCTGGTAGAGAGACCGCAGTCCCATCTCAACCTGCCATCTGTGGGTCTTCCCAGGACCAATCTGTGAGGTCCCTCAATATTTGCGATTAAGGACCACTGGCTTCCGCACCCGGTAACTCTAGGCTGCTGCTGGGGATCTGGGCTGGCTGCCCAGCATCCCGTTGGGCCCGGTGGAGAGACCTCCCATCTCCACCTGCCTCTTGTGGTTCCTCACAGGACCAGTCTATGAGGACCCCTACCTCAGGGGGAAACGGTTAACCTCCTAGAATGCAGCCTCTCTTTGGCTGCTGTAACACTCCTTCCGCTGAGCATATTCTTTCTCTTTCGCAAGCCGGAATTCTCGGTCCATCCTTGCGTTTCGCTCGGCTGTGAGCTGGTTCCAGATCACTTGGAATATATCCATGGGCACATTATCACCATACTGGGCCACTCGCTGCCTCACCTCAGCCAGAGCCTTCCATAGTTGTCTGCTCCAAGTCGCTGGATACCTCTGCTCC